CCACGGTTATCGGAGTACCCCCTCCATCAGTCGGCAGTCCAGGGCACTGTGTGTCTGAGTGGATCGCAACGCGATTTTGCGAATCCCACTCCACCACAAGAGCCTCTTTCTTTTTTAGCTCCAACACCAATTCATCATCCTTGATGGCACCCAATTTCTTCCTCAGTTTGTCCGTGATCTCCATTCCCTGCGGGATGCGCGTGTAGATGTCGAGGTCAGCCTTCTTATCCGCCTTCACATATGCGTTCGGTACGTCCCCGTGCTTTGCAGGGATGCGGCACTTCCTGGCCAAAACCAGGATGAGCTTTACACTGGACATGTCGATCACGACCGCAAACGTGGCGCTGTAGTTTACTCCAAAGACTTGTTCATTTCCACAGGTAACACGTCGAGCTCTCAAACGCTCAATGGCTCCCTCCGCATCTCGTTTGGTCTTAAAGACCCATTCTCCAGATTTTGCAAGACATTCAGTGATCCTCTAAAGTTTACTCCAGGACCGAATGTCCTGATTTTTCCAACTCGAAATTGCCATAATCAATTTGGCATACAAAAACTAGTACTAATTCTAGGCACTGGAAAAACCACTCATGTTGTGATTTTGCAGGACAAGTTGTCCGCGGCACCATTTACTTGCCATGAGGGGCACACAAGATGCTCTTGCCGAATTAAGGCGCCAAGCTGAGCAGATTCGTGACAGCACCGTCTGACCAAGCTCGCGCGCCGCGTATATGAATCCTTATTGCCGCTTTGTCTCGTGGGTACATCAGAATCACCCCAATTTCATACCGGTTGCATTTGCGGATCGCGTGGGTGTAACAGAAGGACTCTCAGAGGCGCAAATACGACGGCGTATCAAGCCACTACTCACTCGAAAGCACGACGATCCTCCTCTTACTTTTGGAAATCTAGATCCGGAAGTATTCGAAACTTGGCTTCTTACTCTTCGCAAAGCGGACGGCTCGATGCTCAGCTACTCTGTTCTCAATACACACCGTGCTGGATTATTTAACATATATCGAGACTATGGACAGCAAATGGGACCTGCGATGGAGAAGGAATTAAAGCAGTTTTTCAAAGGACTTAAACGGCAACTTGCAACTGCCCAAGATTGTGGAGAAGGCCAGGTCAAAGTGGGAAAAGACCCATTGTCATTTGAGCTTTACGAATTTCTTTCCAGCCATTTGCTGGAACTACCAGGAAGTGACGCAATTTTCGCTCGGGTGTACTTGGTTATCTCGTGGAATCTCATGTGCCGTTCTGCAAACGCATTTGGCGTTCGACATTCACACATTGAATGGGGTGGTGACTCACTGAGAGTCTATTTTGCTCATATGAAAAATGATCAGGGTGGTGATCGCCCACGTGATCCGCGTCATGTGTACGCTAATCCACTACAGCCATCAGTATGTCCGATACTGGCACTTGCCATTTACTGGGCGACTTCTACTTTTGATGTGGACAATCGCCTATTTCCAGGGTCGGATCAATATGACCGGTTTCGTAAGAGTTTGCACCGATTACTGGAAGACGACAGGGTTTCAGTGGAGTTAACCCAAGTGATCTCGGTACTTATTCAATGCGCAAAGGGGCAGCCACATACTGTGCGTCTGGTTCTACCACTTGTCCATCATCTACGGCGGTGCACTTGCGAGCAGGCTGGTCTCTGGGTGGTGTTCAGAACACATATCTACGCTATGAGGCTGCAGGGGATATGCATGTCGGGAGAACTGTTGCTGGACTGCCTACTAACAGCCATGAGTTTGCTATATTGCCTCCGCACTTCGTGGAGCAAGATGACTGGGTTCAGCGTGGGGTTACGACCGTTTTCCATGGGATATTATCTTTCGTTGGAGAATTTTGTCTCGCATCCTTAATATTTCACGTACCCTTCCTGCAAACGCACCTCCCACCTCGCCATCCTCTCTTCGAGACAGCGATTTTTCAGGATGCTGCACTGTTAGAAAATCTATTGGAGCGTGTGTTGTGGCTTTAGTGGACCCAACTCGAAGTTAAAAGCAACCGGTCTTCCGCCGCATGTGTCGATATTGAGCCAGATGAAGGAACTACAAAACAAAACGCTGCCAACTATCGAAGAAATTGAAGAAGTTCGCCACGAAATAGTTAAGAACATCGTGCGTGAATTCGAAGATCGGGCTATTAGTGCACGGACGGTAACTTACGATGGATTACAAGATGCTCGGCGGAATTGTCTTGCAGAAGTCGATATTCACGATCTCGTCGATAAGCACAACGCCATTGAGTCACCAACGGTGCAAAATTCAACATCAACGGACGATCGTGTCACACCCTCAACATTCTTCTGCGCCGGGAGGTTTCGCCGAGTTCCTTCCGACTTCGTCCTCCCTGAATGCTCTGTTGCGAACCTGTGGGACCTTTGGCGTTGCGGTAACGCTGAGAAGCAGTTACCACCTCTGTGTATGCTTGACGGTGTCGACATGCCTAACAGTAACAGCCAGAAGCGACTCAGCGACGCTCGATACCTGATGAAGAATCTGGAAGCGATTGGAACAACACGGAACTTACTTCGTCGGAGGCAAACCGTGGAGGAGGTTGTCAGAGTTGATGCAGCGAGTTCTTCAGCAGTAGAAGTACCATTGACGACGGCACACGCTCGAATGCGACGCAGAAGGCAGCTAACTTGGGTGTCGGTTGTACGACTGCACCGTATCGCCGATAGAGCCACACGATCTTGACTGTAGATGTAATACACTCTAATCCGACTGTTGATTGGCTAATATGTTGTCCTGACATTGTCCTGAAAAATCCGTTCAAGAATCATTTTCCGTGCAAAGCGTGTGCCCCCTTTGGAAGGCGCACAACTCTCCACAAGCCGTTCCGATCTAGGGCCTCCAACTCCTCCGCGATCGCCTTTATCCAGGCTTATATCTGCTTGCTGCGTACGGCTTCGCGGTAATTCTTCGGATCTGGCTCGAGGACACTGTTTACGACGTCCGACACAGCCTCCTCCTGCTCTGCACTCGCGTCAGCGTCTCGCCCAACCGAGCGTGTAACTGGTCGATCTCTCGCCCAACCTTTCTTCTTTTTTTCTTTTGCCGCGTTGTTTCTTTCTCCTACTCGCAGTTCCAGACTCAGTGTCCGCTTCTTCACGCTTGCCGCACTCTCGGGATTCGCGGCCCCGTGCTCGTCCTCAGGTCCTCCGCACGGCTCGTCGCGCGTTTTGCACTGGCAGCGCTGACCCCGCCCCGGACCCTAACTCCGCGACTCCTGAGTCCTCGTCGGCACCAGTCGCCTCATCCTCCAGGTACAGACGCTGTACGTTCTCATTCTTCTCCTTACTGAGTGTCTCAATATTCCTCACATGTTGTGTCGCTCTGCAAAGTTCTTTGTGCGTGGATCACTGTAGACCGTACAGGGTGATCCAAATACCACCACCTCACTCACAGACGGTGTGTGCTTGGTCAACATCTTCTCCGGTGACGCGCGTCCTGGGTTCGCACTTGTTGGCGATCGGTTTAGGATGCAGGCTGCATATTGAACAGCGTCGCCCCCAGAAACTTAAAGGTAATCCGCAGGCAAAGACCATGCATCGGGCCATATTCATTATGGTCCGATGCATCCGCTCAGCTTTCCCATTGCTAGCTTGATTTCGCGCCTCACTGCGCTGCCTTGTAACACCCGTGCGCTTGCAGAACAAATTCACGTTCGCATACTCGCCCCCGGAGTCCGTTCTTAACACGTGAATTCTACAATTGAATCTTTTCTCGAAGAACACGAGAAAATGTTCGAACTGCTTTGCCGCCACGTCCTTGGTCTTGGCCAGGAAGACACTGCAAACATTCGTTTAATGATCCACGAAATTTATCATGTATCTATTCCCCAGTCTGTCTCTTGGGGTCATCGGCCCCTTGAGATCTGAGCATATCACCCCACCAATGCGATCGATTGGAGCATGCTCGCCCGTGTCCTTCGTAGACTGATTGTTTCTCGTTTACTTCTGTAACGGGGTTACACGCAAGTGTCTACATGTAGCCACTTGATTACGACAATGGGTTTCACGTTGGTGTGAGATACACCAATGGTTGCATTTGACAGACCACTGGTCTGAGTGCATTTAGACTTCCTA